TTGTCTCCTTATCTCTCCTCTCTCAACATCTCTTCAGAAATACGCGAGTAGTATTTTCACAAAGTGGTATCAGAGCATTCTATCGTTAGTGTGTGTGAGATTACTTCACAGATTCGTGAGTCTTATTTTAACAAGGGTTACGTCCAGAAGCAAGGAGTAGACTTCGAAGAGGTATTCGCTCCGGTGGCAAGGTTGGAATCTATTCGCCTATTGTTGGCGATCGTGGCACATCATTTCTGGGAGGTCTACCACATGGACGTGAAGTCCGCTTTCCTCAACGGAGAGCTGAAGAAGACTGTCTACGTTCGACAACCATCTGGCTTCCTAGACAACGACAACTCCGACAAGATACTGCGCCTACACAAGGCACTCTACGGGCTTTGGCAAGCACTGGAACGGGAAGCTCGATAGTACCCTTCTGTCGCTGAAGTTCAAGCGATATGCCTCTAAGCATGACATGTACACGCACGGCCACGACAAGCAGTGGCTGATCGTGGGAGTGTACGTCGATGACCTCATAATCACTAAAGGTGACATGGAAGTTCTTGGGAGATTCAAGAGGGAGATGTCAAAGAACCTTAAGATGAACGATCTCGGCGTGCTCAGCTACTACCTCGGCATCGAAGTGCAACAGAGTACTACCGGCATCACCATCTGTCAAGGTGCGTACGCAAAGAAGCTGTTGGACGCAGCTGGACTAGCGGACAGTAACCATACAAGGATGCCAATGGAGGCCCGGCTCCAGCTAAGGAAGGCCGGCACTACGACAATAGTCGACTCCACCAATTACCGCAGCATTGTTAGGAGCCTACGCTATCTGGTAAACACACGCCCTGACCTTGCTTATTCTGTTGGATACGTGAGTAGGCTTATGGAAGCACCTAAGGAGGAGCATCTAGTGGCTATCAAGCGCATCCTATGTTATGTAGCCGGAATCAGAGGCTAGGGTGTAAGATACTGCACAGGGAGAGGAAAGGAGAAGCTTGAGCTGGTCGACTACAGTGATAGTGACATGGTCGGTGACGTTGATGATCGTAAGAGCACCAGTAGGATAATTTACTTCCTCTCAGGCGGCGCAATCTACTGGCAATCAACTAAATAAAGGGTAGTTGCTTTGTTTTCTTGTGAAGCAGAATACATCGTCGTTTTGATGGCAGCAACACAGGGGGTCTGGCTTGCGCGACTGGTGGAAAACTCATCGGAAGAGAAGGCGATCCACCAATACTATACGTGGACAACAAAGCTACGATCTCCCTAATAAAAAATCTAGTTTTGCACGCCCGGAGCAAGCATACAGAAATTAGATTCCACTACATCTAGGAATGTGCAGACCGAGGGCACATCAAGATTGATTTCATCCGAACAGAGAAACAACTTGGAGACATTTTCACCAATCTCTGGCACGGGTGAAATTTGAAGAACTACGCTCGAAGATCGGAGTTCAAACATAAGGTAGATATATACCACAGTGATTTAGGAGGAGATTGTTAGATAAATCTCTGTTTTAGGTTAAGAATTTCTATTTTCTTGTTAAAGCCACCTCATTAGAGTGAGTGGAATATCCACTTCTAATGGGAGAGCTTTAATTGAGTCACCGGTTCTTTCTATTTTTAGGATAATGGTTATTTAAATATGGGAATTGAACCAGAATAAAATCATCGTGTATTTAGGCAGAATTTGAAATGTTGTCTCTCTCTTTGTTTTTTCGTTATTTTCTTCTTACAAGATTTTCCTTCGATTTTTTTTCCTCATCAACGATTTCCTTCCATAGAAAACAACATAATCTTCATTGATGAGAATAGTTACTGTGTATTAAATTGATAAGAAAGTTTATGAAATTTGTTAGTGTTTTCTCCTTATAAATACTCTCACATATACCCTTTATTCATAACAAAAAAAAAAAAAAAAAAAAAAAAAAAAAAAAAAAAAAAAAA